TCATGTAATGACTGTTACGTTGTCAAATGGGGGGCGGAAAATTTGCCTTTAGCTTCACTCCGATGGTTCTCGATTAATGATTCAATGTAAAAGAAGATCCATGTGAGATTCATATGATAATGAAAATTTTCATATGAGAAATGTGTACAAAAGTAATTATTTTGCTGATATTGATCATATAGACTGTTTCATACCAGAGTAGCATTTGAGTTTTTCCTCCTTTTTCCCCCTCTTTTGGCCTGACTGTTAGACTACAACCAAGTTTTGAAGTTCTAGAAGTGGGTAAAAGTTTACTTCAGTTTAATTGGTACCCAGCTCATATTAAACTCTTTAGTTTGTTATATAGATAAGAGTACAAGTGACTTAAACTTTTAGTGTGCGTAGTCACGTGGCATTGTATATTTTTATTGTAAGAAATATCGAAAAGTCTTCAGTTCTCTCGACTATCTTCTATTTTTCACATTTTTCATACAACAAGACTATTTTATTCAAAGAAAGATAAAAAGATATAGAAGAGAATGTGCTCCTTGATAATTGGTGAATGCTTGAAGCATTCACTAAAGACCAACACACAAACCACGGAAGCATAAAACGAACAAACCCAACAGCAACATTGGACAAGCATAATGTCGACATCAGCACAACATAAAAGCAGACATTCTATATTATCACTTGAATTTAGTTGAAAAAGTTAGTCTCCCATAGCATAACTAGTCAAAATTCAAATCTTCGCTGAGAAAAGTATTTACATTTAATGATCAATTTTATCTCAAACAGGATTGCCTTCAATAAAAAAAATATTCATACCTAACCCAAAAAGAAAAACATACAATCTATACTTGACCAAAAAAAAAAATTCAGAAACAGGTTCAACAAAAACGACCAAAGACTCGAACCAAAAAGTTAAAGCCACTCTAAACCAGTGTTGGCTAGTTGCATCCTGTGTACCCGAAATGGTGCTGACCACAAACCATTCAAGATTGCTGATTGCCACTAAAAGCAAGGTATCTCATAGGATACTGAAAAATGCTTACTAATTGGGGAAATGGCATGACCAACATAGTGATGAAATGTTAAAGCTTTTAACTATATATTATATATTGAATATTGGCGTCATCTAAGATATTTATTTAAAACTTATACACCTGTCACAGCTTTGAGAGTAATATATTATTGTATATATTTTATAATAATTCAATAATAAAATTCGATCCTCTGCTTTTGAGATGAGGTTGTTGATCGCACTTAGCACAAATGTGATTCTTCCTCTAGAAGGGGAATTGCATCTTAGCGAGAGTGCTCCATTTGCATTTCTTAAAAGTTGGTTCTTTCACCAACTAAACAAATTTTCAAAAAGTTGGTAGATTCTCTCATGGGTTCTCTGCCCATATTTGATCAATTTGGTTTGGAAGTTCCAAATATATATATATATATCAATAATACTCCTCCGGTCCTTAATATAAGACCTATTTAACTAATTTGATTAGATTAAGGAAGTTAGGTAAATTAGTTAATTATAAGAAAATTGACACATTTTTCCAAAAACACCATAATCATTTTTCTTAATACCCCCTTTCTCTCTTTTACTTAATTATGGTTGAGGGAGTATCTATAGGGGTAATTTAGAGAAAATTGATAAATATGATAAATGGGTCTTATATTTAGGACCAAAACCAACTCAAAAATTGAGTCCTATATTAAGGACCGGAGGAGTAGATGGATTATGTGGAAAGGACTCTATTCTTTTCGAATAAGGTTGATGATTTGAATGTTATAAAGGAGAAAAATTATTTTAGAAAGACTACCCTCAATTAATTGACTAGCAGTTGAATCTGATTTGATAGTATCGGATGCTAGATAAATATATTAAGAAAACTAAAATTATATTGACTATATCCTATTTAATTAGAGTCTAATTAAATATTATTAAATTATACTTTTTGATCAAAATGTTAATATGTAGTCCTTCACCTCTTTATTATAGACACGTTCAACCATCTCGTCAAAACCAAAGAAATGATCAATTCATCAAATTTCTTTGAAAATGAAAATAAATTCAAAGTTATTATCATATTTAGTCATAAATTACATTTTGAGAAATGAAAAAAGAAAATAGTATCAAAATTTAAAATGGGGAAAATATAAAAAGTATGTAATTATTAAGAATCTTTTGGCCAAAAAAAAATTATCAAGAATCACTTATTCTTCTAAAATAAACCGGAGGAATATTATTAATAATATCCATGTTATTATCAATATGCATTATAGCTTCTGAATAATATAACTTTACCTATCTCACCCCATCTTTTTTATTTTTTGGCTTCGTATCCGGTATCCTAGGCTAGTCACTATTCATGGGAAATTCACCGGGCCCAGACTAATCCAGATTCAGGTTTTATTGGCCCTGTATGGGGGAGACCCTGACCTCTTACGTTAAGGTTTTCTTACGCCTTGAACTCGAAACCTGTGATTAAATTAGAACAACTCTAACCAGTTGATTTAGGTGGTCAGATTACTCTCACCCCATCTTCTACACAAACATTTTCAGCTTTAGCATGAGTCATTTTCCTCGTAATTGTTTGTGGTCCAATAAACAGCCCATAAATAATGACCCAATAGAATAATGATAAAATAACGATGATCACTGAAATGACTTAGAATATAAATATCATATTCTATATTTTTTGGATGAAAATTGAAAAATCAGATTACAAAAGAACTAAAAAAACTTTGAGCCCAAAATCAGTCCCAACTTTTCTTTTCTTTTCTTTTCTTTTTTACCTAACATAACAAAATAAGATTGGATGTGTATATCTTATATGAATTATTTAGATTTGATTTACATTATCTAATTTTCTTTTGTTTTTTTCATGAGGGCAAAAAATAGTTATTTTTTAAATAACTTTACTTCATATACAAATGTTATAAATCAAATCACTCTGTGTCTAGCGAACATGTGGGCATAAGCAAACTAATACACACATTTTAACAAAATTTTATTTTATGTTTATGTCTAATAATCACTTTTAGTGGCCAAATTTTTTTTTTTAACTTCTCTTCTTCTTCTTCCAAAAACAAACTCCTCCCTATTAATTATTTTTCAAAACTTCAATATAAAATGTAAAATGGATTGCGGTCTCTTACATATTTCAATTAAAATTTACTTTTCTGTTTTTTGAGTTTTAAACACATTATAATAATTTGTTATAGCTTAAATAGTTAAATAGTAAGTTATAAAAAGTAAAAAAAGAAAAAGTTTGAAATTATTCTAAGCAACTCATTCAGCTTTTTAAAAACACATCAATTATGCTTCACTAGGAAGCAAACACGTAATGCTTGTTATTAACGGTTAAAATTTGTTCATAATATTAATAATTAATATTAATCTCTGGTGATAACATGAGAATTCATTCGTTTATTCTTTCCAACTTTATTTTTTTGATCCAGATCACAACCCATACTTTTCAATTGTAAATTTCTTTTCTTAAAATTTTTTTTACTAATTTACAAGCTAAAATTAAGTTGAATATGATAATTAAAAGGAAAAAAAATAAGCCTTCCTTTGAACTAAAATGCCAGACAATAATACTCCCAACAATCCTAAATATAAAAATTAGATAACTAATTTATAAAGATTAAAAAAATTAATATTTATAAAAAAAATATGTGTATATTTGCCTAAAATACTTTCTTAATTATTTGCATTGATAATATTCTTTGATAAAAAAAATTTTTAATATATATGCACCATCAATAGGATAGCTACACTACTTATATTTGAAAAATAAGTTGCACATATTTTATACTTGTATTGATATCGATGTTAATACTAATACCAATATCAACTTTTTAATTGAGCAGAAACTAGAATAAGAATTATTTGAAATTATTCACGATAATTTATCCTTTTTATAACTAAATAATTTATTCAAATTTCATTAAAAGAAAAAAAAAACAACCGCGTTATCTGAAAGAAAAAGATTGCCGGAAAAACTAGAGTGGCTCTAACAGTTGGCTAAAACGAATTTAAGTTGTAACAACAGGTGTCATCGGAATAAATGAGAAATATCGGGGTCAAACTGTAAAATAGCAAAAGTTGCAGGGATGTATATGTGTATGTTGTTCACCATTTTAGCGCGCCGAGGGAGGAAAATATCGAGACGCAGCTTCAACGAGAAGACAGAAGAGAGAGGGGGGAAGAGAGAGAACGGAGTGGGGGGAGAAACAGATTAAGAGAGAGAAAGAGGGTTGGCATAAAGAGGAGGAAACGAAGAAAGTGTGCTTTAATTTTTAGCCCCTTTGTAATTGCATTTCGGGATCTCGAATCTAAAATCTCCCAAAGGTGAGCTTTTGATGTATTTGTTATTTTCGTTGGGTTTTTTAAAATGAAACTACGTTCGGATGTTTGCTTGCAAGATGAATTTGTCTTCATTTTTATGCTTAGTTCATTTAATCATCTTGCAATTATAAATTAAATTGATGCCCCGACCCCATTGTCGTACATTGCTGCATCGCGTTTGTACAATAATCGATTTCGTATCTTTGGGATTCTCTTTTCTTCTAAATGCACGCTGTTGTTTATTCTGTACATTCATGCCTTGGGTAGATGCTATAGTAAAGGCAGCAAAGGAACGTTTCGATCTTTTTTTGCGTCCGTCATCTTGGACCTTGGAGAAGAAAGAAATTTTAGCCTGCCTGAAACCGAGATTTCTCTCTTTATCTCTCTCTCTTACTGGCTTTTGGCAGTTTTTTATTCTCGTTAAACCCCCCCCCCCCAAAAAAAAACTTGGTTCAACTTAAAAGTTTTCTTGTGTGGGTTTTCTGCTGCTTTGTTGGTGGATTGTTCATGTGTGAGTTGTCTGCCTCCGAAGTTTTGGTAGTCACAGTTGTTTTATCCCCCCCCCCCCAAAAAAAAACAAATGTCAAATCAACAGCCAACAACTGCAGAATGTCAGTTTGTTCCACATGCTGGCAGTGGCTTTTAGTAAACAGTTCTAATTATTTTGCTTGATCAAGTAACAAACTATAGCGTGAGAACCTGACTGGTACTTTACATGAGTCAACGAGATATACTAGGGCATTAATTTATATGTGACGCTGCTGTACTGAATGGAAAGGACATACAATGTAGGCGACTTTCTGGAATAGAACATATATAAGAGCTTGATAGATATAGCTTCACGAGATGGCTGGATGAGTGGTGGAGTTATGTTTGGGTTGATGAAGAAGAAAAGTGATCCGTAGAGCTGATAGGGGTGCCAAGATGGCGCAGAGTTATTTTGATCTCATGGAGTTTTTGCTCTATTGAGCTTTGGAAAGCTCTCTGGCTTTCATATATGAACTGTGTTTGTACTCAGCAGTTGGATCCTCCTTTCAGTGGAATCCTGGGTTATTTAGCTCTTAGACATTATCTGTAAGTGTCTATTTATAATAGTTTATTGTCGTTGAGATTACTAAGATGCATGTGAAACTGCCATGGTTAGAGGTAGTTGTTTTGTTTGACCATTAATTGAATGTTTTGATATTTTTCTATTGATACTTAACATAATTGTCCGTGCTGCTTTATTAAGTGTGATTGGCTTATAATCTTCCCTGGGTGCATGTCTTTGGTAATTTATGGTATGTTATTTGACAGGTATTCTATGGCCAATTCAAAGGGCTCGTCAATATATTTTGGAAAGCATTCTCAGCTTCCCCCCAAAATTCCATCCCCTAGTGTTCCCCAATCATATTCTGATTATGTCCCAAATTCTATCATTGGTTCAAATGTTGCTCAAAAACCTAGAGAGGGCCACAATAACCTCCGAAGGACTTCATCTGAGAGCCTTGTCAATGTGATAGAGGAGCAACCTTCATGGCTTGATGATCTCCTTAATGAGCCAGAGACACCTGTTCGTAGAGGTGGCCATCGGCGTTCTTCAAGTGATTCTTTCGCTTACACAGATACATTTAATGCTTTTAACATCAGTCGCACAGATCAGGATGAATATAAGTATAAGAATTCAACATCCATTCCATCTTGGGCATCACTAGACATAGATAATGGAAAAGTTGCTTATCAGATACCCCCGTATGCAGAAATGAACTCTGTAAAACAGAAAAATAGGGCCTGGGAATCTTCTGTGAATGCTGTTACACATCCAAGTGGCCCACACGGGAGAGACAATGTTGCTTTGCAGAGTCCAGGATCATCATGTGCTTCACGTGAAGCAGATGGAGTTGCATCAGCGGTAAATGAGAAGTATGAGTCAGTAGACCCTGGTGTACAGGATGCTAAATCGTCTGCTAGGAGAAAGGATGGTTCACATGCAAAGCCATCTGCTTCTGAAACAGATACAAAACGTGCCAAACAGTACGTGATTGTTTTATGTTTTCTGAATTTGTGGTTATTAGTTATTACACTGTGTAATTGATTTTACCATGAATTTATGACTCGAGGCTGCAAGCTCTGGTTAATGTTTTGATTCTCTCTTCGGTTGTCTTTCCATTTATTTTTCATGCATGTCTTTCCCAGAGCACATCCATTAAGACATGCGAAGCTTCCCCTTTTTAGCCTCTGTCATGGACAACCCTTACAACCCTTGTTGCCTATTTTTATCCTAATAGGCTGAGAGATTCAGTGTGTTCTTAGTTCCTTTTTTAGAAAGATATCTTCCACCTTCATTTTTTCCCTAATAAATGTCTTTTATCAGAAAAACAAGATGCCTGTGTGATGGAAATATTTTTAGTAACTTACTTGAAGGAGAATGGTTATATCTTGAGTTATTGATGTATGCATTATCAAAGCTCAATTGGCACTATTTCTCATGTTTGAGCCAAAGATTAGGGGATGTTTGGGTTGGGAGAGGGGGGAGAGGTTAAAGCAGTGACAGTGTATGTGTATTTTTAGAACAAAATTAAGTGTATTTGCTTGATTTTATGTGTTGATCTGTCAAAATTAAGCATTATGCACTTCATATGATGCAGGCAGTTTGCTCAACGTTCCCGGGTCCGGAAGCTTCAATACATAGCTGAGCTGGAAAGAAATGTGCAAGCTTTACAGGTAAGTTTCAGCAGAAGACAATACTCTGCAAGATTTTTGATTGATGCTTATTTGAGAATGCATGTAGGTTTGTGGGAAAGTTCTATTCTGATTCTTACTTTTTAATAAATAGGTGGAAGGGAATGAAGTATCAGCTGAACTTGATTTTCTTAACCAGCGGAATCTTATTCTGAGCATGGAGAATAATGCCCTCAAGCAACGATTAGAAAATTTAACACAGGAGCAGCTTATAAAATACAGTAAGTTTATCTCCTTGACCTTGATAGAACTAGGCAATGAGCATGGAAGTCAAACTGCAAATAGAATCGTGTGAACAGGAGGGCTAATTTTTTGAATCATGAATAATAAGATTTACTATGCGAAGTTAAAAATAAACAACTCAAGATTGATTTGCATAATAAAACATCATTCAATCATTTCAAAATTTGACAGTTTTAGATTTAGATATAAGACATAATAAGGCTTTCTGTAAACAAGTCTTAGGAAACCTATATGGTGCATTCAAGAGTCCTGTTCAACTTTTTTTCTTTGTGCACATGGAAGAACCATCTTAGCTAGGATGTAATCCTCTTCAGTTGAAATATTTAACAGGCACAGTACTGTTGGTAGGTTAATTATATATACAAACAAAAGAAGATTGAGTCCTATTACCACCGTCCTATGATTAAAAAAAACAACAACGTTTGGTGAATTATAAAATGGTGAACTGCAAATGCCCCTTTATTCAGCACTTTCGTCCCTCACCCCAATTTTCCTAGGCAGGAGGTAGACTAGTGGCAGTGAGTATTAATAAGCTGGACTTGAAGAAAACATGTCTTTTTTGGCTAATTCTTCTCAGGCATGAGTATTTTCTTCAGATATGACAGGAATTTGTTTTGTGAACTAAATTGTACATTGTAATCTCAGTGGAATATGAAGTCCTGGAAAGAGAAGTTGGAAGATTACGTTCCATTTATCAGCAGCAGCAGCAGGCACAACATCTGCCCCCACAGCAATCTTCTTCTGGCCTTCGACGCACGAAGAGCAGAGACCTTGAATCCCAATTTGCAAATCTTTCTATGAAACACAAGGAGTCAAGTTCAGAGCGTGACTCTGTGACTGGCCCCCTCCGTAGTTAGATTCACAGTCGACCGGTGCTTTCTATAGTTAGTTCTGCAGTCTAGCTGTATCTTTGTTCTGCCTCTAGATTCAACTGACATATCCAAACCTGCAACATAATTGCTCACCTCTCATGCGGGACTGTGCAGAGGTCTCCTGCTTATGTCCTCTCTCTGCCCGCTTTTCACGGCAACATTTGCCTTACCTTAACCCTTCATTCATGTTAAAAGCGAATCATTTAATTTGCACCTGGTGGTCATTACTGAGAAGTGAAAACACACTATTTGCATCAGTTGACTTACCGGAGGTGGTAACTTTAACGGTTTCACCCCTCACTGTACGTTCTGGTGACCATTTTGTAACCATATGCCCCATCTGTTTCTGAATATCCATAGCCATGGAAATCTGCCAAATATAAAACAGCAAATATCTGTAAGGCTGTTTGGATGTGCATTATTTTTATAGATTATGTTGAGCTGATGCTTGTATTGTAAAATAATTATACTAATGAAGCTAATATTCCATTGCACTGTTCGATGCTGGTGATAAATTTGACCTACTTGTTTTAACTACTGTATGAGTTATTTTATATGCCCATTGTTGTTGGGAGTTTTGACGTGTTACTGTCTTGCATGGTTCCGTAGATTTTGTTTTAACTTTTCATGTTGCTGCGCATCGGGAAGATATTGATGTAGCTTTACTTATGTGTTGATGCATGACAAGAATATATTGATAAGAACGAAAATATGATAGAAAATTATCTTATTGGTGGTTTTATATTTATGTTACGTACATTGAAAAATTTGAGAATTCAAGAGGGATGAGGGGGGGAAAAATTTTTCATGCTCGTTACAGATTTGGACGGCTATTATATTATAGTATGTCCTACTTGTGATCATCTCAACATATCACAGTATAAATTAAAAGGAATTTCCTGTGATCTGGTAATTTTTATTTATAAACCAATGATAAGCCCGGAAAAGTCACGAGTACCTTTTTTCCTGATTATTAGACTGTCGCAAGTTTATATAACTAGCATCTTAACTTCTGTTCTAGATTACGCTCTATCCCTTGGGTACCCCAAAATGATGGAATTGAGATAAAATTATGCCACCAAATACTAAAATGTTATTAAAAATCTGAAGCGTACGAGAATAATAATGGCATTATGAATGGAGAGATTAATCTAACATTCTGATGTGGCTAACAAATATAACTAACTAGTATAATCATTCTGCATAGAAATTAATCTCAGAAGCCTATGAATGACTATGTATACTGATCAGTTCTGGTGATTCACCGTAACAACATTGAGAGGATAAAAGATACGAAAAGCAGGAAAGAAGAAGAAGACGAGTGAAAAGCAGCAATATTGGGCAGGGTAGGGTAATTATCAGGACTGGGCATAACACATTCATCTCCATTAAATAAAACAGTTCTGGGAAAACCCCATCCTCCTGTGAAGGTGAAGATTCCAGCATCTTTGTGAAGTAGCATCTCTGTCTGTACATTCCCATTCTCCCCATGTGTCAGCAACATGTCATTGTAATACTTTATCCCCCAGAACATCACTGTATCATCTGAAAATTTTCCCCAAATATTATGTCACTTTCAAAACATATGCATTCTCATATTTCATACAATCACATAAACACAGTCAAGCTCCTTTGGTTTGTGAAATGGAATGGAAAAGAAAGAGTACATGAAAAGGGGGCAAAATGACTTCTCTGATGTGAAATGTTTTTGTTTGGCTTTTATTTATTTCTTCATTGTCTAGATAGCTTCTCGATTAGAAGGTTTTCTGCTTTGATTCTTTTGAAGTGCTTATTTTGTTTGCATCAGAATCAAAGTGAATATATCATTTTCCTGTTGTAACAAGACAGTGACTTATTAGTAAAGTATACACAACTTTTTTTCCCCCACTAAACTTATCATGAGAAATGAAGCAACTTACTGATATCCCCAAAAATTCTGAGAGGTTGATAGTTGAAGCTGAAGACTTGTGTTAAACTCTGCAAGTTAGGGTGTAAGAGCACAAGATTCCACTGAGAATAGTTCTTAACAAAGTTATAATTTGTGATTGTGACCTTCACCCTCCAATACTTTGTATAGCTCTGCTTCACATGCCAGTGAATCCTAATAGGGCACATGTGCTGTGAACACCTCACCACTGGTTCTGTCTCTTGTGTGCTGCTATCATCTTGTGGCAATTTCAACAATGAAGGAGCTTTATCAGAACTGAAAGAGGGGGGGAAAAAACATTTGATGAGTAATTAGTTCTTTGAGTTTGAAGGAATGCCCTAACTTTAGTGAACTCCAGTGACCCAACCCATCTAAACTTTTTCTGACCAAAAAAAAAAGAGTTGGTTTTAATTAAAAACCTCATAACAACAATATTAAGTAGCTGCATATAAGAGAGGGGGATAAGAAAATGTACTTGACACAGTTTGCTCCAGGTAGACCTTGGCAATTACAGCTGCATTTAGGGCAAGGAACAATGGTATCACTGTAGAAAGCAGATAATGACACGCAACATTTTGGGGCTGATGCTGATAAGAATTGAGAGTATATACAAGTCACATTCCATGTTTCTGCAATCACATCAAATTACATCTCAAATGTTAAATTGTCTCATTCCAACACTATCTAAAACTAGTTTTGGACTCAATAAGAGACGGTAAGAGTCCATCTCAACTATAATCACCGCTAACACATCATTTCATTGTTCTCTTAGTGGATCTAAATCCTCCTAAAACTATTTGTAAAATCATAACTCACCAAGAACTTGTGTCCATCGACGACCATCAGTGGTGAACTTGCTAGGAGGGACCTGAGTAGGATCACTACAAGAGTATCCGGGGATTCCAAGGCTGAAATTAGCAGGCACGGTGATGTTGCTAGGGTTTAGGACAGAGGGTTTATTAAAATTCATCTGAAACATGGAAGTGACTTGTGAGGGATCTTGAGTGAGAGATGATAGGATGCCTTGTTTGCAACAATTGGGAACTTGCTTGTTATAAGGTGTGCCAGGCATAAGATCAATGATGGTTGGTTGCTTCTCACAACAATGTGGCTTTTCTTGTCCCTTAAACCTTGAACAGTTCCCTTGCTCTGTTGTCTCTGCTCCTGACATGCTCCATATTACCTCATCACCTCTCCATGCCCAACTTAGCCTCCAACCCGGCTTCTCCACGTGTCGGTATAGTTGCCAATTATATATCCATACCCTTACCTACAGGTAAAACATCAAACTCTTTCATCTATACTTTAAATGATATTAGAATTAAGATAGGACTAAAGGGTCCTTGCCTCTCTATGATTCAACAATTTATCAAATAGGTGCTGATAACAACAAGTATTATTCCATGAAATGAATTCAGTTACATGGATCACATCACATCGTTATGTTCTATTATGATTTGTCATTCAAATACGCCAATTTTTTCACGAATAATTTATTATAATAATATCTTAACCATGAATGTAAATAATCTCAAGTGAGAACCTCCTAAAATGCCCTGATTCATGGCTTCTATTATAATAAGAGAAATCAGAAATTCTGTTGGGAGAAAATTACACTATCAAGTTACACACCTTATGTTAACATCTACATTCGCTGCTGCTAAATATAATTAATAGCTTTTTTTATTTTGTAAAAATTGGGAGAAAAACTAGACAGACCTGCATGTAAGGCAACTAACACAATATTTTCCTTCTATAGAATTGAATTTAAGCTATAAAAGAGGTAGATTCTCCACCATACAACATATTGTACTATTCAATAAACAATCCTCCTGGATTTCCAATCTCCTGCAAATTACATTAAGTTGAACCCAATGAAAATTGTTACCAAATGTATGATAATAAGGTTCTAATGGAAACTAAAATCAATGTTGAATTTGAAAACTTCAATGAATGAATCCCACATTTATTTTTCTTTTCTTTTCTTTTCTTTTTTTTTCTTTTTTTTTTAAAAAACATGAGAGCAAATCAGAGAACAGGGCACACAGGAGGAGTGTTTATGTGGTCCATGGAAGTGAAAGTGACTAACACCAACCAAGCAGACCCAAAACTCAGGTCCCACAGAATCAGGCACCAAGGGCAGGATGACGTGGATGTCATTCATTGGATCTCGATCGGGCACAAAGAGAAACTTGTGGGACTGGGCGGAGCAGAACAAAACCCAACCGGAGACAGACATCGGGTACACCATCGTCTTCCTTAAAAACATCGAAAATTCGCAGACTTTTTAAACTCTCCTTTTCACCCATTATTTTTTTCCCTCATAATCAATATATTCCCATTTTAAAAAAGGGGCCTGAACCTCTCAGTCCCCAACCCCCCAGATTATAAAAAACTCGATGGCCAGAACACAAAACCCCAGAAACTCAGAGACTTAGAATTTCATTCTTAAAAAATTACTAAAGAATTAAAAATAAAATAAAAACTTACGTCGTAAGTGTCCCCATTATCTGCCAGGAAATCCCATGTGATTGTGATGTTTCCATTGGGATCCAGTGGATCGTACCCATCTGCAATATTCCAACTCCAAATTAACAACAGAAACCACCGAACAAAAAAACACACACACACACGTGTGTTCATTAATAAACAAAAGCATGAGTATATATATCTAAGGAAGAAAGAAGAAGAAGAAGAGACGAGTGGGAAGGAGGTTCGTTTACAGGAAACAGGCGAGAAGGAGACGAGGACGAAGACGACAAGGAAGGAGAAGAACATGAAAGTCGAAAGTTGAGACATTGATGAGGGATCAATTGGGAAGTCGCAAGAGAAATGGATTGGTGATGAGTTAAGAAGAAGGTGACGGTGGAAATGGCGGCTGGGTGGGCGAGAGGGTCGAATTTACGACGCCATTTGTTTGTAGGAATGAGGTAATAATAGTATTGCATGTTTTGTTTGGATCTGCCTCTCTTTCTAAGGGAGTCTTTGGATAAAAACCAAACCATGGTTTCAGAAGTGCTTTTACGGATTACGAGGTAAATATGTGGAGGAGGTTACCTCGTTTTGTGGAAAAATGCTTCTGAAACTATGGTTTCAGAGCACCCAAACAGAGCCTAAGTCACAAGAAGGACCAAAAATGAAGAAAGAGAGAATAAAACGAACGAAAACGAAAGGCTGCATTGAATGGATTCCCAATTACAGCGGATTGGGTGTCCTTAGGATTTGCCATTTCAGTGTCCCATTCAAATTCCATGTCCTTCGTCGTACTTTCGTTTACGTTTTTCCCAATTTGCCACCATTTATGATCCCCTCCCTCCTCCCTTCTATCAAATTCTCATGCTCCTCGGAGAGGGAGGGGTTTGGTACTAGGAGAATTACGAGGTTAATAATTATCAAAAAATTTTAATAATAATCTAAAAAATTTGTAATGATAAGTTTCAGAATAAAAAATAATATTTATTTTGTAATTATTTTTTTTTTGAGATCTTATTATGATTCTCCTTTGGTCTCTCACAAAATTAAGGTTTGAACATTTAATGAGACAAAGGATGGCTGTGTAGGGAAAAAAAAAGTTCTAAATATTAAAAGTTGGTTAAATTTGATTTAAATATAAAAACTCGGTATATTTTATTTGTCATATTTATTTCTTATTTTCTACAACAATATTTATAGTGATTATATATATGAAAAGGTTTTTATTCTAATACATATTATTAACATGTGTATTTTAAGAAAGATAACACTTATTTATTATAAATAACTAATTTAAAAAATTTTATTAATATTTGTAAATTAATTCTAACTCTTATACCATGGACAAGAGGGAGCGCTAAGAACAAGATGTAATAGTTGTTTTGTTCTTTGTCAGTGTTAAAGAATAATTTCTTGATTCTAAACATGCCCTTATTCTCAATTTGTTTTATAAAGAAATGGAGATATTCGGTTGGCTAAAAAATGGAGAGTCCTTTTTTTTTAATTTATTAATATTTATTAGGGTTAAAGATAAAAGTTAAGTAAATCTACATCATTTTCATATTTTTTTTATATCGGTAAAATAGTTAGAAATGATTTATATTGAGGATCAAAACATGAAGGGTTTGAAAGATCACTGCTGCCTAAGATTCAATTCAATGTACTGCTTTTCTATTTTGTAAAATCCAGTACTACTAATATGTCATAAATTAATTTAGTAGTTAAATAATTTAGTTTTATACTTGCTATTCATACATTGAGTGTATTTATATATAGGCATGATGTTTGAGATATTGACTGTTTATAAAATATCTATATTTGATAATAAGTCCATGCTACTCACTTGTTGTGAGACTTTTTCTACAATTTACATTCCTTTCTTAGAATCTATATTTGATATTTTTTGTAAAAAAAAATGGCATTCGAACTTTTAATTTTAAAAGCAACATTTAACTTGTTCGATATTTGATGCATATTCAAAAAAAAACTCTAGATATTTTTGTTACGAAGTTAATTTTTGTGACATAAATTTGCATTATATTTTTAATATCGCATTAAAATAATTAAATGGATGTTGTATTTGATAAGTTATGTTTTTGTCCCATACATGCATACAAATATATATATATAGAGAGAGAGAGCATGCAAAAGATGACTCATCACAAAATAATACTACCTCCGGTCCTTAATATAAGATTCTATTTGACTTTTATTTTGGTCTTAAATATAAGACCCCAATCTATTTTGTCTCTTATATTTACTCAATTTTTTTCAAGATAATCCTTCTAATAATTATAGTTCTAGTTAATATACTTAATTAGTAAGGATATTTTAGGAAAGACAACACTTATTTAGGACAAATAACTAACTCAACTTACTTCCTTAATCTCTTCAAATTAGTCAACTAGCTCTTATAATTAGGACCGGAGGTAATATATATCTTTGCTGCTTCTCATATAAAAATAAATATTTATTATGAAACCTTCGTATATATGCGCGCGCACACATATATATAAGTAACTCAAAAATTTGGAGTGTAGTTAGAGGCTTGTCACTCAATAACACCAAATATCTCTTTTAAATCCCTCCGAGATTAAGTTCGAACTTTCGGTGAAAAAAAAAAAGAATTAAATAGAGTAGAAGAAGGTGGTTTGAAGCGCCCAAACGGAATTAGTAAGCATTGTTGACTGTAAAGATACCAAAAACCGCAATGGAACAGATCAACATTAGCTGTTCCCAGCTTTTACCTTACCATTAGTAATTAGCGATGCCTGTTTTGCGCATTACCACTCACATTATTTATTGGGAAAATTTTGTTTAAGGACCGCAGTACAAAATTAATTTCAAAGAGCTCTCAAAACTTTCTAAAATTTTACTGTAGAACTAAGGGGGCAAATTGATATTAATTCTATAAAGAAAATGATGCTATTGCCCCTCATAATACTTGTTGCGAGGTGATATGTAAATGGATTAATAGACTAATTACAGTTATAAATAAAGGTATGTATGTTGCAAATTGTCTAGTCTTACTTGTAAATAGGCTCTCCCACACTTATTCACTTATAGACACCTTCTTCAAATGAAGTGACATATAAATGTACTAATTCTAGTTGTAAATAAATGTATATATATTGCAAATTATTTAGTCCCACTTGCAAATGGTCTCTCTCACATTTGGTCACTTATGGACACCTATTTCAGGTGGTAAAGAGATTAATTCCAATTGTAAATATATGTATGTATGTTACAAATTGTCTAGTCTCACTTGCAAATGAGCTATCCTACTTTTACTAGGAGGGGCAATAGTGTCATTTTCTTTATGAAATTAATATCAGCTTGCCTTTTTAGTCCTGCAATGAAGTTTCAAAAAATTTTGAGAATTCTTTGAAATTAATTTTGTACTACGGTCATTTTTCCTCATTTATTTATTTCACACGTTTCTAAATAAATGTAGAATCACTCTTATATTTTAAGTCAGTCAAAACAAATTACTCTTCTGTTACTTAATATAAAACTTAATTAGCTAATTTGAATAGATTAAAAATAATAGTTAAATTAGTTAATATATTTTTTTTTAAAAACATCTTAAACATCTTTTTTTACTATAAGGCTAATTCGAGAGGAAATTGATAAACATATGAAATATGCTCCAATATTAACTTTATAATTAGGTTTTAAATTAATAATATATATTACTTTCTACAGTCAAAACGAGCTCCTCTTTGCCCATCAGTTTGAATTGTGACCGTGTGGCTGCTGGTATTCAATTTCCGTTTTTCACTTTTCTTTCAAGAGCTGCTGTTTTATTTTTCTTTACATAAAAAAGAAAGAAGAAAAAGAACTAAAAAGGAAGAAGTTTGTTGCAGAGAAAAAACACAAAATATGAGCTACGCGGCTGCTATTTTTGGATTGCCTGCTAAGCATATCCTGTCTAGCACCATGGGCTATGCCTATAATATCCATGGGCACCTCAGATTCTCCCTCCTATTAATTATTACTTTTAATTTTTGTTTGGTTTCAATTAAGTAATACAATAATTGAATTAGTTATGATTACGCAGTTGAATTAGAAGACAAATGTTTATCAACCAATACATATAATCACATAGATGACATGCACACACAAGTAATCCAAAGATATACAACAAAATTGTCTTCTTTTTTATTGTAATAAAATTGTCTTTTTATTAAAAAAAAAAGAATATCTAACATGCATACTATTCTTATGACATTGCAACTCTTTTCCCAAAGTTTTGTACACGCAGGGAAATTCGTCCAATTAATTACCCATATATCTCAACACTAAGGCTATGTTTGGATTGCAGATGGAAACAGCAAAAGCTTCAGGAAAATATGAGACTGAAGTTTGCAACTGAATTAGGCACAAATGGTTGTTTGACTGGGCTATAAGGGGTTTATGAATTAAACCCTCACATGTATCTTGTAGTGGAAAGAAAATGGAAAACCAATTAACTTGCAATGACAAAACTTACTCCAATATACAATCCACAGAACGACTGGAGCTTCTGAATTCATCATTTAGACAGAGGAATCTTATAACATGCATAAATGTTACAGCAATTATTACTAACATCACACAGAAGAGCTCAAACTAACCAATGAAAGTCCCAGGCTACCTTCTGCGCTTTAGTGGGCCCGTTTTGTATCCACTCTTAGTTGGTTTGCCCCAAGGAGAAACAGAGACTCTCCCGTATTTTCCACTACTCTTGCTCTTGCCCTCTCCTCCCCCATGAGGATGGTCCACGGGATTCATGGCCACTCCTCGAACCACAGGCCTTCGACCAAGCCACCGGCTCTGCCCGGCCTTCCTAAGCTCCCGATCTCCGTGGGTTGGATTAGACACTCTACCTATTGTAGCCCTGCAACGAGAATCAATCAACTTTGTCTTCTTTGAAGGAAGTTCAATTAAGACATATCTCGATGAAGGATCTTTCAATATCTTTGCACAAGTCCCAGCTGATCGGACCAGTTTGCCACCTTGCCCTGGGTTCATCTCAATGTTATGAATGATTGTCCCAATTCGCATAGCTCTAAGCGGCATGCAACTCCCAATTTGTGCATTTATGTCAGAAAACATCATTTGATTCACCATTCTCTCATGTGCGCTATGAGAATTTGCATTCGCAGAACCTGTGAATGTGAATAGAAAAACAAAGAAATTTAAGGATCGATAACACATACACATGGATTTAACACGGAGAAAGGGGAAGAAACTACATGCTACAATCTTAAATCAATATCACATTTTGTGCTATACTTCTATTCTCTTGCCATTCTTCTCATCGACCACCAGAAACAAGGGTAAAATATTT